TAGATGCAGGATAGTATACTGGATACTAGATACTAGATGCAGGATAGTATACTGGATACTAGATACTAGATGCAGGATAGTATACTGGATACTAGATACTAGATGCAGGATAGTATAGTATAGAAGTAAGTATTAAATAACGTGATAGTATACTGGATACTAGATACTATGATGCAGGGTAGGTATAATTTTGATCCGTAACACTTAAAAAATTACGTCCAAGCTTTAAAAAACTGCGTCACTCATAATGCGTCTAATGCGTCATAATTTTGTAAAAAGAAAGTAAAAAGTAGATATTTTAAACATTTTCCTTGACAGTTCTTCGATATTTACGCTTAATAGTATGTTTATAAAGCAAAAATAGATAATTTCATTCAATATGAGGGGGGGGGGGTAGATAACATTTTTATTATTTTTTTGAACTAGTAGTTATAGACGAAATAATTATCAGTAATGGAGACGTAAAGGTTTTACTCATTAGATAAACTCCCAATTGTAGACCGCAAATTTATAAAGACTTCAAAAATTCCCGTGATGGGGTAGGACACTGCCAATTCCGGTTCATTTCAAGCACCAGGCCGACTTTTAAACAGATTGAGCAAGCTGTAAAGTCTGTACACATACAGGCAAAACGGGACCAAATAAACCAGCCCCATCTAGGGACATACACCAAAAATGACCGAGGGGAGGGGGGAGGGGGGGTAATCCAATTTCTAATTTCTAAAACCCTATGTCCCTGATCTGAAAGTGTGCCACTAGGAATCTCGTGTTTATTTGCCTCCTTGATGAGTTTTCTCATCTGTATTCGGGATTTTATAGATGATGATTTCCCTCCAGAGCTCTTTCTTCGTCCTCCCCCATCAACCTGGATATTATATGTAAGGTACACTCCCATAGGAATTTTCCCAAGTGGCAACTTCCCTAGGGTATTTTCCCAAGTGGAAACTTCCCAAGAGTATTTTCCCAAGTGGCAACTTCCCAAGAGTATTTTCCCAAGTGGTAACTTTACAAGAGTATTTTCCCAAGTGGCAACTTCCCAAGGGTATTTTCCCAAGTGGCAACTTCCCAAGGGTATTTTCCCAAGTGGCATTTTCCCAAGAGTATTTTCCAAAATGGCAACTTCCAAAATGTGCAATTTCCCATGCGGCAACTTCCAAAGTCTGTCCTAGTCCCGGCGTTCTTCCCCAAGCATGTTCTAGCCGCAGCGCTTAGTCCCCTAGTCATTCTACCCGCAGCGCCTTAGAAGGCCTATTCTAACCTACTTGGTAAAAGGTCTTTAGAAAAATAAGTAACATCGTTCACAATTCAACGATTCAAAGAACCTTCAGATTTAGTAATTTAATGAAAGGAATCATTTAAATAAGGAAACTTTCCGTACAGTCGTCTCCGAAGTATCATTCTTAGTGGGTAACCCTGTATATAATATAAATCATGATCGATTTACAACTTTCTTTTATTTTCAAATGGGGGGGGGGGGCAAAAAATACAAGTTTTAGTGAAGTGTTTGCTTAAATAAAAAAACATTTCCTTAAGTTTTATTTTATTGAAAATTGAAAATCAATTCATTGTAGAAAATCGGAGAAATTGATTTTGAGAATAAATTGAAAAATAAAAAAATATTATTAAAGTTGGATTAAATTAAATGCAAATTAAAACGCTTCTTTATAATTTAAGATTAAGTTAGGACTGGTAGTGCCCCTTTCCTACTTTTTCTAGCCGTTTCGGTAACGGTTAGTTCCAACCGTTAAAAATTAAGATTTCAGTTAGCAGTTAATTTTAAAGGTCAGAACGGAACGTTCGTTCCATTAATGGCATTCCGGTTTCTTTAAATTACCGTTAGTTAACGATCTTAATTTTATTAACGGCGTTGACGGAAAATTTTCAACAATCCTTAACAGCTAGCTTGAAGCGGCCAAAAAAATTTCGTTAACAGTTAAGATTTTGTAACTTAAGTATTAATGTATATTAGATGGTGAATTTAAAAAAATTGTAATTTGGAAACTTTGTCCAAAACACCGCCCCCCCCTCCCAGCTTTTGTAGGGTTAAGACTTGCCAATTTCCTCTACCCTTTTAATTTCATGTTTTGGGGTTATTAATTTCCGGATCAAATTAAACTACTTTTTTTATTATTTTTTTTTTATTAATTAGGAATTTAATTAATTATTCACTAAATTTTAGAACAAATGACAAGGAAAGTATTTTTATTGTTTTTTTTAATGTTAAAAAATGCATAATTGATTTGATTTGAAATTAATGTGAGAAAATTTCGTTTTCCTTGCAATATTTGACACTTGTGACGTCGTGTATATTTGTCCGTTTCTCTGTTGCCACCTGTTATTTGTTTGTAGCCTAGATATCACTCTAAGCTCACAGAAACTAGCATTATAATTAAACATCGAAATCAACGTCGCCTAAGAAGGCAATAGAATTCTCTCTACTTTGGTTTAAGTGATTCTCAGTGTCGCATACTTAATAGGTATGGTACAAAAATCTTTATAAAATGTAATATGATTTATTAAAACAATTGATCGCTGACAAATTATAGAAGCTAAACTTTTAATAATTCTGTTCAAAAACGCCAAAACACTTAATCATCTTGGTGTAATAAACCCAATAGTGAGATACCTAGCGGAGAAAATGAGAAACATACTTCTCAATGCCTACACACTTTTTGAGTTATGTAAAAAAAAACTAAGGGGGGGGGGGGGGTTCAAATTGGCCCCCCCCCCCCAGCAGGAATAGGGTTAATTAAGTAATTATAAAATATATAAAAAATAAAATCCATGTTTTTTCGATTATTTTTTATATGCAATTAAAAATATGATTAAAATTACTTCGTGAATTCAATCAATCAAGATTTAATCTTTTAAGACCTTCATGAAATATAGAACACCTAGTGCTATTTGTTTTTTAGATAAACTAACCCATAAGATTAAAATTTGAAACATTTCAAATTACACGTTTCAAGTTACACGTTGTCGGCTTAGAATAAGCCTTCTCTCTCTCATGTTCGGTTAATTTAAAAAAAATGTTTTATAGATATTCAAAATGATTAAACTTTTTTTACTAAAGATTTAAACAATATAAACAATAAAGGGGTTAACACTTTTTAAAGGGATTTAAATTTTCGACTTTAAGTTTAAAAAAATGTAGTTTTAAATTACACTTTCTCAAAAGTATATCTTTTTCTGTTTTTGGAATTTTTTTTAATAAAAAAGTGGTATATGGCCAAAATACAATGCTATATTTTTACTTTACTAGGATAATCACTAAAGAGTAATACATAGAGATTCGTTTCTTTAACCAGGTTTACGGAATTATAAAAAGCACCTCAAAAATCTGCGAAGGTTCCAACATTTTAAGATTTTTTCTAAAAAAGTTTGCTTTCATGAAACTTTGCAAAACTTTTACCCTTAGAGAATATAAAAGGTAAACACTAACCAAGAAACAAACGTTTTTGGTTCGTTTCTTGCATAAACAGGGTTACCAACAACTTCAGAGACGCCTGTAGGGAATTTATACTATCTGTTCCTTTATGCTCATGATTCCTTGCTACATAAACTGTTTCTTTCTTTGCCACATCATTAAATAAGCCATTAAAATACTGTCTTTAATGCTGCCGACTTAATTTAAACTTGAGATTCTCACATTTTAAGAGTTTTCTTTGCAGTCGCATACTTTGATGAAAGTAACTCTGTATCTTCTCACATGGATAAAATCAGAAAGGAAATGTTTAGAACAATCTAATTTTAAATTTGTAAAGTCTTATTTTTAAAGTTTTTTCAACAGACTAATCTAGCTAATTCCCATTCCTTCTAAAAAGTCAATTTTAGATGATGTCGAGTAGCTCATTTAATTTATACACCGGAACTTGATTTCAGCTGCTGAACCTGAGATCTATTCTATCCGAGAGCTGGAATTATTTACCCTCCTTTTATCAGCAGAAAGCTTTTAACAGTTGCAAAATAGCTGCAAAAAACGCAAAAAATACGCAAAAAAAACCTCTAAAAGCCTTAAAACTAGCAAAAAGAAACACATATTCGCATATTGTCGCAAAAATCCCTTTTAAAAATTTCAAGAAATTACCTTGTTGTCCTCCACCGAACTCTGTCGGCTCAGCTGTGAATCCTCTTCATCTGAGTGCTTGACCTTCTTTCCAGGTTTAGCTATCTGGAGAATACCAGTTTGAACACTAGACTCATCATAATCAAACTCACAGCCAACTACCTCCTCATCTTCTCCCAACTGGAAAGTATTGGAATTGAAAAAGCCAGATTCTACAGAGTTAGGTATAGAATTTGGTAGAAAACTAGGTTTTATGGAGCTGGATACAGATTTGTGTAGAAACCCAGGCTCTGCGAAGCTGGATGTAGATTTGGTCAGAAAAGCAGACTCTATGGAGCCAGATTTTGTTAGAAAACCTGGCTCTATGGAGCCAGATTTGGGTAGAAAAGCAGGCTTAACGTAGAGAGATTTATGTAGATAACCAGGCTTTATAGAGCTAAATTTGGGAAGTATAGCGGGCACTACAGAGCATGATCTAGATCTTGGAAGAAAAGCAGGATTGTTAATTGCGGATTTTTCAAACTCACTCTTTAGTATTTCAAGTGTATCAAAAGGGTTAAAATGTGAGTCTAAGGCTACATGGTTAGAAGCTGTATCTGTCCTCTTTATCCTCTTGTCTGAATGAGGAGATTCAAGCGGAGGTTTCAGGGGACTTACCCTGCTTTTAGCAAGCTTGGAGGAACGAACCCTGATCAGCGGAGATGCCTCCGTATCACTGGACATTGGAATAAAGAGTTTACCATGAACAACACCGGCCTCTTTATCCTCAGCTGCAGGAGGATAATTCTGGAGGTTATAATCACATATATCAGAGAGATATCCAGCTTCATCTTCAGCAGCCTCGTTCTCTTGGACTTCAGTACCGCGGATAATATGACCTTCGGACTTATTCCTGGAGAGGGAGTAAGGAGCAGCACTCTGGAGGCCGGGAACTGAAAGTGATATGTTAAAGAGCTGATCTAAATAAACCGAAATGGATTAATTGATTGCAGACTTATAAGTTGTCTTTGACCTTAGAATTAGTTTTTGCATTCACGTTAGCAAACCTGATTTTAGCAATATTTCTATGAAACTAAAATCACAAATATTTTTTGCTGACAAAACTACCAGAGATATTAAGAGTTTTGTTTAAATTTCAATTTATAAAATAAAACCACGAAACTTTCTTATTCTGAACAAAAACATGCATATCTCCAGTAAAAGGCAAAGCACAATTTGAAAATAGCAGGATAAATGCTATTTTGTGATTTTAGTTTCATGAAAAATATACTTATAGAATTAGGTTAGCCAACATGAATGCTGCAAACTATTTCTAAGGTCAAAGACGACTTGAAGTCTTCAAGCAATCAATATAAATTTCGAGGAACAGCATTGTTGGTGAGGGTTATTTGGGGTATCTACTACTTTTGGAATTAGATTAAACTGAAAAGTAATATAATGTAATAAATGTAAGGTTATGCAATAAAAAACTAAATCCAAATGCAAGGAATTCCATGGCAGATTGGATCAGAATAAGGGCATAATTAGGACTAGAAGCAATTAATTAATTCAAAGCTATATATTTACATTACAAATAATCTATAATGTGGACCCTTTTTGGTTTATGGTACTATTCAAAGAATCTTAATTTTTGCTTGGCATAATTTGAATGTTTAGAATATTTTTAAAAATATGCATATTAGTATTCACTATATTGAATATAACAATATGAATTCCAATATCAAATCAAAATATAAATTAAAATTAAAATTTCACTGGAACATATATTCAATATATGCATTAGATTATAATGAAAATCTAAAAATAAGGAAAGGTAGGAATTGTGGGAAAGTAGGAAGATAGGTAGTTAGTTAGGTTGGACGTAAGAAAGGTAGGAAGGTAGGAAGGAATAGGAAGGTAGGAAGGTAGGAAGGTAGGAAGGTAGGAAGGTAAAAGGGTAACAAGGTAAGAAGTTAGGAAGGTAGGAAGGTAGGAAGGTAGGAAGGCAGGAAGGTAGGAAGGTAGGATGTCAGAAAGGCAGGAAAGCAGGAAGGAAGAAAATATATGAAAGCAGAAAGGTAGGAAGCTAGGCAGACAGGAAGGCAAGAAGGCAGAAAGGTAGAAAAGCAGGAAGACAGGATGATCTATACTTACATTGAACTGGTCTATTGCGAAATGTTTCTTGAATGTTAGCAAATTCTTCTCTTGTTAAACCTTCACGAAACACCTCATAATATGTGACAATGATAAACAGACACGGTCTGACTACTCTAGGGATGGGTTTCGTTTTAAGATACGTTATAAGATACGTTTTAAGATACGTTATAAGATACGTTTTAAATTACGTTTAAAGATACGTTTTAAAATACGTTTTAAGATACATTATATGATACGTTTTAAGATACGTTTTAAGATACGTTATATGATACGTTTTAAGATACGTTTTAAGATACGTTTTAAGATACGTTATAAGATACGTTTTAAGTTACGTTTTAAGATACGTTTTAAGATACGTTTTAAGATATGTTATAAGATACGTTTTAAGATACTTTTTAAGATACATTTTAGACATTTTGAAACACTTTTTAAGCTACGTTTTAAAATAAGTTTTTAAAACATTTATAGCTGTTATACATTTTAACCCAGTAAATTATAATATATAAAATGTCGTCTTGACAATTTTTCAATGATTTCTTTTACTATTATACCTTAATCTCATGAATTGTATTGTTAAATAAATAGCGCCGACTGCGCGAAACTCCTCTGGGCTTCTGCCTCAGGGTTGTTGTGAACGTGCTTTATTGAAATCTTGAAAAGACGACATCTAGTGTCCTATCTGTTATTTAAATCAAATAACATCAAGGCAATGCCCATCAGTAGCTTTGCTGCTACTGTCAACTGGGCAAGTCTACAGGGTAATAAATGATGTAAAATGCATTCAACGAACAAAATGATTTTTAACTGTTTTTATAAAATGTTTGTGCGGAAGAATTTTGCTATTTTGACAAAGATAACCGCCATTTTTTTGTTATTTAGTTTTTTAACGTCAAAAAAGTCAAGCGACTTAAAAATTGTTTATTCTTTCATAACTTCTGTCAGGGTAGGATTTTCCAAAGTGTAAAAAATCAAAATTTTAAAGTAAGCTCCGTAAAAATAATAGAAAACTGTTACTCTCAAATTTAAGTAGCCCAAGGAATATAAAAAAAAAAACATGGAACACCGCAATTATGTAATTTCCACAGACTCAATTGACTTTATAAGTGAATTTAAAGAAACTGGTAAGACTATAAATAGCTTTAAAACAACATCAAATACACATTTAACATTGCTTAAATTACGCCTCCACAATTTTACGGGGCTTACTGTATTAAAGTAAAATATATTTTTCCCGTCTTGTAGAATAAAACAAATTATAGTGATATATGTGTTATATTATGAGGTTTTCAGATGTTCCTATTGTAAAATGTTTTAATTTTCTTTTTCTGTTCGCTTGGATCTTCCAGGGGATCTTGGAGCCCTATGAATATAACATATATTTGAAAAGTTGAATTTAACAAGTCTTAATACAGCTTTTTTATAATTACACGGTTTTTCTTTGTACATAAAATCAAAATATTACGCGGATTTTCTTGTTATTATTGGTGGATACCAAATATTTCACTTGAAAAAATCAAATATTCGCGGAGAAAAGAATGGCAATAGATTATTAACAGTACAAATGGAACACTAGATGTCGTCTTTTCAAGATTTAGAAGTTTTTTTGTTCACAATAACCCTGAGGCAGAGGACCAAAGGAGTTACGCGCATGCCGCGTTGAATTACAAAATAGATAGCGAGCATGCGCGTTACTCCTCTGAGTTTCTGTCTCAGGGTTGTTGTGAACGAAAACCCCCTAAATCTTGAAAAGACCACATCTAGTGTTCTATCTGTGTTGTTATTAATCTATGAGAACGGCCATCAACCTTACCTGCTGTATCATGAAAGGCCCTGCCAAAAAACTGGACCCGATCTGTTCATCCGTTTAAAGACTTTAATTGGTTTCAAATAAACAAACAGACAAGCCATTTTATATATACATAATCGCATTGTCTGTTTTTTTTTGTATCCTATTGACGTCAAAACGGCTAGACCACATTTTATCGCAAATTTCGTTCGCTCGCGAAAAATGCGAAAATTTCGCTTCATTCTTTTTCGCGAAGAAATGCGAAATTTCGCGAAAAAGTTTGCCCAATACGAACGAAAATTTTTTGATTTTCTCGCGAAACGTTTCGTTCCCTAGACCCTACTTATATCACAGCTGCAGGTACAGTTAATGACCGTTCGAAATGTTTAAAGTCTGTCTTAAAGAATGTTTGATATATTAAACTGAATATCCAGTTTTCCCAAATATAAACAGAAAAATTTATGATGTTAAATATGTAAATTTTTCCCAGAAATTAAATGTCAAAATTTGTTTGGAAAATGCGCAAAATACAATTTTTAAGGAAAATGACGCCATTCTTTCTTTATTTCCTTATTTTTAATGAAAAATAAATCATGAAATAGATTATTTTACTTTTCTGATTGGTAATTACCGGCTACACACGATTCACATCATTTGTATTGTTAGGCATGAAATATATGACGTAAATTATAGTTATTTAAAACTACTTTACAGGACATTAGGGAAATTATATTTTACCAAGGGTTCCCTTGGTAAAGTAAAATTTCTAATTTCCCGAAAAAAGTAGTTCTACACAATTTTAACGTCGGTTTGTAAAGCAATGCGCGAATTTTTTTCACGAAAACTTTGCAGAGCGGGTCTTTATTTTACTAAATTTTCCCAAGGGATGTTAAGTAATGTCCCTTGCTCTGTCGGGGAAATTATGGGTCGGTAATATTGGTCAAAAGGCGGTAAAATTCTTTATATATATCATGTCATTTGTGCAAGTTCCGGAATATACAAGGACTATATTGACTCAAGAACTATCAATATTATATCAATGTGACTGTAAGCTTAATTTCAAGATGGCCGGAGAAAAAGCCGATTTTTCGTTCAGAATTTGAGCGGAAAGGGCCAATCTCTCTCTTTAGACACTATATGATGTTTTTTTTCAGTATGTTGTGGATCAAAATAAATATCGAATAAAAAATTAAACTGTAGTATCTAATCGTTAATTGTAAATAGAGAGGGACCGTCCCTTTCGCTCAAATTCTGAACGAAAAATCGACTTTTTCTCCGGCCACAGTTCTCTTTGAAAACTATTACCAATCAACAGCGAATAGGCTGTTTAGTTTACCCTGAAATTACCCAAATAAGTGAACGGTCCCTTTAAAGAAAACACAAATTTGTATGAATGTGAACTTTGCAGTATAAATAAATTACTAGTCTACCTTTACATGTTGTTGTTTAGGTGGATGATCATGTTCAAAAGTTTGAGCAAGTTTATGATGAAGTTCAGGAGATTGAACATGTTCAACGCAATCAGGAATCTGGGCACGGTTTATCTCTATAGAAGGAAGATTTTTCAGTTGATCTGCTCTTTCATCTTGTATTTTACTTGGTTGCTGTTGATGTGTACTTAACTGTTGTGGAGGTGTACTAAGCTGTTGTGACAGTGAAATAAGTTGTTGTTGAGGTGTAATTAGCTGCTGTTGCGGAGTACTAAGCTGTTGTTGAGGATTACTTAGCTGTTGTTGAAGAGTACTAAGCTGCTCTTGAGGAGTACTTAGCTGTTGTTGAGGAGTACTAAGCTGCTGTTGAGGAGTACTTAGCTGCTGTTGAGGTGTACTAAGCTGCTGTTGAGATGTACTAAGCTGCTTTTGTGGAGAACTAAGCTGTTGTTGAGGTGTAGTAAGCTGCTGTTGTTGTGTAGATTGTTTAGCTCTAAGTGTGGCTTGAAGGCTGGTTATCAAAGGAATAATATTGCCCTGAATCCCAGGCATCTCCACATCACCTAAATAATTGAAATTCATTTTAAAATATATTTTTTGAAATACTTTTAAAACCTCCATAGCACTAAAAAGTGTCTGCAGTGTATATCGGGATGTCTAACACAAAGCTATGTTAATAAAAACAAAAAAAATTATTAAAAGGAATCATTATTATTATGAAATAACACATAGTTCGATTGAATTGGAAATGGATTATGAATATTTTTCTTAATCTAAGAGATATTTAAAATACACAATTACACACAAATTGATGAACACCTATACTTCAATAAGGATTTCACCTTTAGTAAAAAATTTTATTTTTTTTAAAATATTTGAGCCAACCCTGTTTTTACAGAACTGGGATTATTGGGTACTTAAATACTCATAATCCCAATCGCTTGATATCGAGATCCAATGTGGGAACTTTTATTTTGAGGATCTATAAAAACATTAACCTTTCCATATCTTCATTTTAGTTAATCCTACCAGTATCAAAAAACTCCCTTCAGCCATGACTTGGTACGATTACCATGCGGAATATCGGATAAAGATTAAATTAATCTGCAGATTAAAAAAATTTGAGATCAAACTCAGATTAAATAAATTTTAGCAATCGCTGAACGGAAACAGAATCCAGGTAAAGCATAAAGATCATTTCATTTTGGACAAAACATAAAGACCCTTCCCGTAAAGATTACATTAGCTAAATTTTGGCAAAAACATGCCAAATCATTTTTAAAGACGCCAGGAGTTTGGCCAAAAATTAACAAACCTTTCCGTAGCAAAGATGCCATCAGTTTGGCCAGAACATAACAAACCTTTTGGCATTACACTTTAGTCTGGCCAAAACTAGCCGAATCATTCCTTCAAGACGCCAGGAGTTTGGCCAAAAATAACAAACCTTTCTGTAAAGATGCCATCATTTTGGCCAAAAATAACAAACCTTTCTGTAAAGATGCCATCAGTTTGGCCAAAAATAACAAACCTTTCTGTAAAGATGCCATCAATTTGGCCAAAACATAACAAACCTTTCTGTGAAGATGGTATCAATTTGGCCAAAACATAACAAACCTTTCTGTAAAGATGCCATCAATTTGGCAAAAACATAACAAACCTTTCTGTAAAGATTCCATCAATTTGGCCAAAACATAACAAACCTTTCTGTAAAGATTCCATCAATTTGGCCAAAACATAACACACCTTTCTGTGAAGATGGCATCAATTTGGCCAAAACATTACAAACCTTTCTGTAAAGATGCCATCAATTTGGCCAAAACATAACAAACCTTTCTGTAAAGATGCCATCAATTTGGCCAGAACATTGTCTACTTCTGTAACAATATCCTGGGAACCATCCTTTGTAGAAACCTGAAAATTAAAACTATAAATTAATTCATCTATAAATTTTGCTTGTCTGGGTGTCTGTATTTATGTAAGGGTGGGTGTATGTGTGTTTGTATCCAATAAACATCAAAACGGCTGAACCGATCGGGCCCTAATTTTGTGTGGGATCTCACGTGACCCCAGGAAAGGTATATGGCCAATCAGACTTTAAATATCTTATCTTAAAATATTTTTATCTTAAATTATTTATCTTTGTAAAATTTTGAAAATGTGCAAAAAAATATTATGAAATCTGTAAATCAAAAAAAATGTTATATACTGTACAAAGAGAAGATGCTCACAGATAAAACCACAATTAAAAGTTGAAAAAGATGGGCGCGAAGCGCCCCAAAAGCATAGATTTTTATAAAGAACTTATTATACATCAGCATTCTTTATTTAAAATTTTGATTTACTTGGTTGCTATAGCTTATAAAACATATTGACTAGCAAGGAAACTATGGCCGGATATGTTATCTATATAATAAAACAAGACATTCGCTTATATATATATGTTGCGTATAGCCGGCCAAACGGCTGGACCGATTAGGCTGAAATTTGTTGTGGATACTCAGGGGTGGCCGGGGAGTGTTATAGGCTATAAAAAAATCGAATTTTTTTTTTCAATGTTTTTTCTTCATTTTTTTTACGGGCAACGCCGGGCCCTTCAGCTAGTAACTATTAAAACTGAACATGGCCAAATGTAAAGAAGATGTTAGGTAGGACATTCTTATCAAGTATTCCATCTTTATCGAAAGATAAAAGAAAGGAATTGAGTCTTCGCCACAAACCCAAATTTTCTAATTCCTATATCTTTGTAACCTGATGGTGTAAACATAAAAATATTTCCAGCTAAGACTAATTGGTCTAACAAAATGCATAGTTTGAAATATCTAAGGTTTACATCATTGCACTAGAATTTCCCCTAGAAGGAGCTAGATCATTTGGTGTACCGTCCAGTTTTGCCTGGTATAATCTGTATATGTACTGTACTGTAAGGCCTGGTATAACCTGTATATGTACTGTACTGTACAGCTCGCTCTAGCTAGCTGGTTAGATGTTCGCCCGGTTCTTGAAATGAACCCGACTTAGTGATTGTGTTGCAACTTACAAAACTATAGAGATTTAAAAATCAGAGTTTGTGGCAAATACTCAATTCAATTGCCGGTATTTATTAAAAGCGTTCATTATCTTTTTTTTCTGTACGTTCGTTTTTGATAAGCATTTCATATTATTCCTTAATGATGATTTCAATATTCACATTTTCAGGTTATTGGAACTGTCTTTAACCCTAGCACTTTCATTTTTGACACTATCACCGTGAAATTTTTTTACTTTTAATGAATAGTAATTTAAAGGATTTTTGTACAAACTTTGTTTTTAATGCATAGGGTAGAGGAAAGTGCGGTAAAAAGTCCGGTCTGTGTGTAATAAAATATAAAATAGTCCATAACTTTTTTGTGACTAAAGCTACAGATCTAAAAGTTTTACTTTTAAAAAGACTATTAAAACAATAAAAATATTTTTTTCATTTTTGTCATTTTTTCAACCCCACCTAGGTATCGCTCTAATTCTTTTTTTAATGAGCTGGCCCTAAAAAATTGGGCTATGAATATTAGGGTTAAGAAGAAGGGCAATTCATTAGGATACCCTTTAAGCCCCGTTCTATCGAATCAATTTTAATATTAAAAGTTTGAAATGTATTCATTTTTTTGATCATACAAAGATTTTAAGGGTCAACTCATATAGACTGACTTGAATGACTTGATATTATGTCTTTGCAAATGGCAAAAATTATGAAATATTCTTTAAATCCACCATATTTAAAATAAAACACTCTTTTCAGTAAAATTTGCGGCGGCTAATTTAATAGAAATTATTAAATTATTCCAAGTTTTAAATAAATATATAAAACCAAAAAACATTTATCTTCATAAAAACAAAATTTTTCCCGGTGACAGAGCTGTACGTAGCCATTTCTTAAAATACAAATAAAGAAATCTGATCTTTTATTTAAATGTAATTTAATTAAATGTTTGACAAAACACGTGGTCATTCTGAATAATTGTTTGCATGTTTTCATGCTGAACAACGTGCCATCGTTTTTCCATCACATTCGGATGCAGCACTTTTTGGCTTATTAAAACCAGATCGAAACTCAAATTCTTTTTTTAATTTGGGGAAGGGGGATAATTATCTTACAAAAGATGTTTATCCATATTCTATAACCATGTATTGCATGAAATGTATGTATTTGTGTTCGGTACTTCAATTGAACTAGGAATGGGATTATGTCTATTTATGTTATTGTAATGGGTATTTTTAAGGGTGAAAACGTTTTTGCTGGTTTTTTTTTCAGTTTGTTTGAGATCAAAATGAAAGTATTTTCACATCCACTATAGTTTCAGTAGAAGTAAATAATAAATATTTCCATTTATGGTTAGCGCCGATTCAAGGATTCATAACTCTAATTGGATAATGAGATAGATAGAAAGAAAGATGTTACAGCCATACTATTTCTATTGGTTCAGAATTGACAACAATTACACATGACTGAACCCTGATTGGATCAGGCGCTAATGGACTCGACATGTAGGAGTGCACCGTGACACCGAACGTATTAAGGTGTATTTTAATCGAAAACAAAAAAGTAAAAATATCAGCAAAAACTATTTTCGCACGCAAAATACCTTTTTCAACAAAAAATATATAGTTTTATTAAATTTTACTTAACTTATTTAATAGTAGGTCAAAAAAGTTACTTTATCACCCTACAGCGGGAAATATTAGATGTGATAAATTCCCTCAAAATTGAATTATTAAATTTTAAAAAGCCTGGACCTGAACTTCATCAAAGTTTTCAGTGAGAGCTGTTTGTATCCCCGTCATAAACAGCTGTGCAGTACGTTTAGAGGCTTCCTCACTACAGCTTTCAGCTCCAGAATCAGATACCACATCCGGTTCTAATATAAATAATAATGGAAATACATTTAAACTTTTTTTATTTTAAGGCACAGTGATCTAAAGGTTGAAAGCTCTCTCATAAAAATCGATGAGAATTTTAGCTTTAGCTTTACTTCTTGATTGCGACCCAAGAAAGTTATATCTGATGTTCCTGTCTATAGAAATTGAGATGAAACTGTGTCAAATTTATACGAAATTTCATAAATATACAATTTTTTTTATAGAGATAGTAGGTTTAAACAGATCATATTCAGCAAATACACAACGAATCTTAAAACGAAGATATTCCAGAGGAACCTAATCCTTACTTTGGTTTGCTCCAATCATAATTTATAATTTTTATTTTCATTTTTAATAGACATAATTGATAATATTATTTATAAGTCCGTATTACGTTACCAGAACTCCCAACAATGGTAGTGCAGTATATACTGGTCACGTGATACAGACAGAAACATGTGACCGCTATACTGCACTTTCCTACTATTTCTTTACAAAATTGTGTATGCATTTTCGTATAAATTTGACAAAGTTTCTTTTTATAAATTTCTCGAGACAGGAACATCAGATATAACGTTCATGGGTCGCGATTAAGAGCTTTCAGCCTATACCCTTTCATTTTTCCTGTACAGTCCCTTTAAGAACCTATTTTGATCAGATTGAGGTTTCAAAGGTACTTTTGTAAGTCGGGCATTGTCGTCTTTGCATTGAGGGTCACTTTAAATTAATACCCATTAAAGAATGTGATCGCCAAGTATAGGTCTAATTGAGTAAGCGCGCAAACTCGTTTGCGCGCTTAGTCGAAAAAAATTCTGCAGAGTTACTTACAAGAATCCTGCAGAGTTACTCTGTACTCACAAGAAATGTTTTTACAATTATTTTTTAACCTGGACGAAACAAATATCCAGGAATAGGTAAAAGTTATCAAAAAAATATTTTGAAGTCCTTCATTACTTATTTTCTTGTCTTAGTTTAGATTAGTGCACAAAATATTTCCGATTTTTATTTATTTTCTTATTTTCCTAGAACATGTTTTGCTTTTGTCAGAAAATGATACTATGCTAATGAACTCTAAAGATAGACATTTCTAAAATAAATATAAAATTGTGATTTTTGTAATTACTGAACACTGTCAGAATTTCTAGGATTTCTAGGATTTCTTATATTGAGTTTCACCAACATCAAAATGGGCCGAATATACGATATTTCCATTTGAACAATCTTATTAGAATGCGAAAATTTTGTGTGAAGAATCGTTAATCTCGATATCCAATGTGGACACTTTTTTCTAAAATATTATCCCTACCCTAAATCCGATGCACCAATGTTCAATTTAAGAATCAAGTATTAAATTATGTCATAAGTATTCAAAACATTTCTTAAAAAAACATCTTTACAAACTAATAAAAATAAAGGTGAAATTACATCTATACAGTATACACTATTGAGTCTCTTTAGAATAAGCGCCATTTAAATTAGGCAGACGCTGAACTCCAACCTTCGAGTGTGCGAGGTGGGGAAGACTTCACTGCTGCGCTTAATTTAAAGAATGATTAAGGGGGGATGACATTTGTAGATCGAGATTGAATCCTAGCAGCAGCGCTCTTCCCAGAAACTGTCATAACTTAACCTAACCCGTGGCCGCAGCGCTCGGCCCCCTAGCCTGTCCTAGCCGCAGCGCTCTGCCCAGAAAGTGTCTTAACATACCCTAACCCTAAATAAAAGAAAGTGTCATATCTTCACCTAACCCATTGCCGCAGCGCTCGGCCCCCTAGCCTGTCCTAGCCGCAGCGCTCGGCCCAGAAAGTGTCTGAACCTAACCTAACCCTAAATAAAAGAAAGTGTCATAGCTTAACCTAATCCATTGCCGCAGCGCTCGGCCCCCTAGCCTGTCCTAGCCGCACCGCTCAGCCCAGAAAGTGTCTGAACCTAACCAAACCCAAAATAAATTCTAATTTAATTGAAAATTGTTGAAAAAGTGGTCCTGCAGTGAAGTCTTCCCCACCTCGCACACTCGAAGGTTGGAGTTCTTCGTCTGCCTTTAAACTACGGGAAAACTCCAACGAGGTTATAGTTTATAGAGTGTACACTAATCCTTTACTAATTGTACAGGCCATGTACTTCCCTTCCATCCAAGGTCAATCTTTATATTACAGTACTCGGGGGTGATTTCTGAAAATATTTAAATGGAGAATTTGTTTTCCATGTAACTATTAAAATCCACAGATAGGTAGCTAAGATCCAGCCCCCCTGGAAAACGCTTACCGTGGTCTTAACTGAAAAAATACAAAGTATAGCCTGGACTTAAATCAAAATTAATTTTCCCGATCCTTCGCTTTTACTTCAGTCAACCCATTGACACGTATGCATGTTAGACTCCTTGGTCCGGGTTTCAAGACGGGTCAATAGAAACTTTCATAAAATTATTTTTGGCGTTGAAAAAATGGTTAAAAATACCTTTTTTGACAACTTCTTCTTTGTTACTTCCTCTTCTTGTCTTTTTCCATTCCTGCTTTTGCTTCCTGTATTCATACAAAGAATAAAATAATAAAAGAATAAAAGAATAAAAGAATAAAGGAATAAAGGAATAAAAGAATAAAACAATAAAACAATAAAACAATAAATGAATAAAAGAATAAAAGAATAATAGAATAAAAAGAATAGAAGAATACAAGAATAAAAGAATAAAAGAATAAAAGAATAAAAGAATAATAGAATAAAAAGAATAAAAGAATAAAAGGATAAAATAATAAAAGAATAATAGAATAAAAAGAATAGAAGAATAAAAGAATAAAGGAATAAAACAATAAAAGAATAAAAAGAATAGAAGAATAAAAGAATAAAAGAATAAATGAATAAAAGAATAAAAGTATAAAAGAATAAAAAGAATTAAATTTTCAAAATATCTATTTTTCCTATTGTAAAAATAAAAAAAATATGCATTTTCAATTGAAAATTCTTTTGGTTAAACTAAGTGAACAAGGGTAGACAGAAAAGGATTATCTTCATTATAAACATGTATCAATTACTAGTTGCTAAACAATTGAAATTTGTAAAAAATATGAAAAGAAAAAAAAAGATTTTAAAAAAATATACTTTTTAAAGGAAGTTTTTTATTATGATTTATAATCTTTGTTCCTCGTAGACTCAAGTTGGTTTAGAACAATAGGTGTGAGCTCTCTTTCAGTGAGTGATGGACGCTTTTCCACGGAGACAACTAAACAAAACAAACTTATTTTAAAGGGATTGAAGACCACATTTTTAGTGATGCTCTTTTTATAAAAAGGTGTGTTACTCTTAATGAGCTCCAATGTACGGAAAATGTCGTCACCTAAGATAGATAGATAAAAACCCAATATGACTGATTATAGAGGCGAGAGTGATGCATATTACGATTTTATTTATATTTTGTGTTTAAAAGTGGCAGTTTTTAGTTTTTATATTACCTGCTGGCTGGTCCATGTCTGGAGATACCCTTCCTGGGGTTAAACACTGAAAACTCTAGAGCGAGAATTTCCAGTTTTTAAAATGACCCCTCACGCAAATCTGCCCCTTTAGTAAAAGTAAATTGAACCTATATGAAGCATAAAGTTTGACCGCGTCAACCTTGCTGCACCGGCTAGTCCAGTCGAGCTAGGTACAGTACAAACTGGGACCGGAAAGGTTGACCCGGCTCGGAAATTCAAATGTACCACGGCTGCCCGTTTATCATGTTTAGTTTTACTTGAATCTTATTTCAAAATATTCTTTTTAGAAATATAATAGAAAAAGATTGACTTCTTGGCTCTGTATATAAATACAGGGTTAACCACAAAGGATGAGATTATAAAGACGACCGACAACTCTTAACGATCCCAAGGTTAAATTAAGTATTCGGCCTTAAATATAGTATTTTAATGGCTTTTTAATGATTTGGCGAAGAGAGAAACAAGTTACAGTTAATTGCAGGGAGTTAATTGCAGGCAACAGACCTTATAAATTGCATACAATCGTCCCTGAAGTTCATTCCTTGTGGTTTACTCTGTATGTACAGGGTTACCCACAAAGAATGAGACTGTAAAGACGACCGGAAACTATTTAAATCTGATGATTTCAAGGTTAAATTAAGTCTTCTGAAAGGTCATTTGAAATTACGCATTCAGTCCCTTTAAGATAAAAAGTGTTTTCTAAAAACCATATTTTTTAGGTTCACATTAAAAAAGAAAATCAGATTTTCATTAGCTTTTAAAAATTCTGTTTTCCACAATTAAAATTTTGATTAAAAACTTATTATTAGTTTTTCTCTCTTAAAAAATTAAAATTATCAAAAATATATCTAACCCTATTCCTGCTGGGGGGGGGGTCAATTTGACCCCCCCTGTAGTTTTTTTTTACATAACTCAAAAAGTATTGGTCAGAGGCTTTTAAAATTTTCTGACTTTTCTTACATACCCAAAGCCCTCCCTTTAGGCCTAAAACCGGGCTTTAATACTAACTGCCTGAGTCCTCAGGCACACTGCCTGAATGACTGCTTTTGCTTGTAACAAACTAAATCTTTGTTTTGACCCTCTTTCACTTGTCAGATTTTGATAAAATTTAGCTTTTTGGAAAGCCTATGACATAAGGAAACGGATTGCACAAGTTTTGCGAAAAAAAATGCAAATTTTTATTTAGCAAACAACCTGTCAAAGGAAATAAAGGAAATTTGCACATTTTTAGTTTTTCTTGATTAAAAATCAGGTTATTTAAAATTTTGCAAAAAGATTTGCATATTTGAAATGGCATGGTCAAGAGCTTTTCAAAAATGTATAATTTTTTTTTGCAAACATTTTTACTATATAACTGGATTTTGCGATAAAAAATTCAATGTTTGCAAATTTGCAAATTTTTTTGCAGATTCTAAAAGTAGAGCACAAGAGCTTTCTAATAATGTATCATTTGTCATATTTGGACATAAAACATGGGATTTAGAGGGGGGGGGGTTGAAATTGACCCCCCCAGCATATCCTGGTTTTCAAGTACCCCAGCAGGGATTGGGTTAAGTATAGAATCATGTCTGAGTTAAAACTATGAATAAAATTTTGGGATTTGCCACTTATCCCTCCAAGCCGCAGTGGATATCGAGATCAAGCGTTGTAGATAAAATGTGTCATCCTCTATTCTTAAAAATTTTAGATATTTCTTTTTTAAAAGAAAGTTGTTTTGCAATTTGATATATTATTGTCATTTCTGAAAACGTTGCTGAAATGTTTTTGGACGAAAAAGTATTTTGAATTTACAATTTTCACACTTCATACCATAGATTAATAACAATACAGATAGAACACTAGAGGTTGTCTTTTCAAGATTTAGGGGTTTTCGTTCTCAATAACCTTGAGGCAGAAGCCCAAAGGAGTAACGCGCATGTTGCGTTGAATGACAAGACAGAGAGAGGTGCGGTAACTCCTTTGGGCCTCTTCATCAGGGTTATTGTAAACGAAAAACATCTAAACCTTATAAAGACGACATCTAGTGTTCTATCTGTATTGCTATTAATCTTTGCTTCATCCCTTCACTTTAGAAATAATAAAACATTTTCTGTTGTTTTTGAAAGTTTTCTTTGTTAAGCACGATAATCACATGGAAATGCTTTCCTGGGATTCACAAGGCTGTCGTGGAGAATCTGAAGACGATTTGGATTTCCTGTAGCTCAACCGTTTCGTGTTCGCGGCTTTTCCACCAGATTGCGCATTTTTCTTCAAAGTCGTTACGGATTTTGTTAAACTGGGTGGTGGCACAGTTTGTACTCGATGCTTCACCTCTGACTGTGAGTTATTTTGCCTGCCTTTCTCAAGCTCTTTCTCTTGGCTGCCTAAGCAGATTGAAAAACTGATCAGTTCCCAGAGTTTCTACACCTACGTCCACCCCAAAAAGAGGAAAAAAGACGAAACTAAAGTTAAGAATAGAAAACGTTCTAAAGGATTATTAAGATTATTCAATATTGTTGGGTTTTGCCCAATTAATTTTTTTTAAATACTGATTTTTAAAAATTCGTTAAAAATGTTGTGTTTGAAAGGAGACCCTGGTTCAGGTATTACTACTACAGTGATGTGTAGACTTGAGCTGGACTGGCCAGCCCAGCTACAGGGTCAGTACCGTCAATTCAACCCGTCAAATACTTAGCGAGAAAATGGAGGGGGGGGGGTAAAGGAGAAGACTGGGGGGGAAGGGGTGGTGTATTTATCACAAAATAAAATTTTTACTTTACCATAAAATTCAGAAACATTCAAAACAAGAAGGGGGGATTTTTATAAAAAATTTATTTGAATTTAATATGAACTGTGTAGTGTGTACTATGTATGAAAGTTTATTTTTATCTTTTATTAAAAAAATACTGATTCCAGATAATTACGTACAATGGATCACTGCAAACCAAGATGTGAACGCTCAAACCGCTCAAACGCAAAATATCAAACAGTATTTTGCCAAGTAATCCTTTTAAGCTAGCGCTAGAAATAAAAATAAATAAAAATGTATAAGCCTAGGACTACAAAAAAGTATAAGTGAGTAAAGTAAAGTCTGTAGAAAGTAGAGTCTGTCTAAATATTTTATGATTAACTTTCAAAGTTGTCAAGCTAAATATGATGCCCTAAAATTTTTTGATTATTTTTATCTAAAGATTAAATTTGGGTATTGTTAAATCGTCTATACGCAACATTCCCCCTACTGAACTTCTGACCTACTAACTTTCCGACCTACGCCCGCTGTTTATTTTTGTATTATTTGAGGGTTAGGTTAGGTTAAGACAATTTCTGGGTCGAGCGCTGCGGCTAGGGGGCCGAGCGCCGCGGCTAGACCAGACTAGGGGGCCGAGCGCTGCGACCACAAGTCAATGTAGCAGCTGCAAAACCACGTGCTAGTAGGTCAAATGTTTAGTATAGCGGATTTGGCGTATGTCAGAAGTGAAGTATAGCGGATTTGCGTAGGTCGAAAAATACACCACCTAAATTTGGGTTTCTTAACAATAGACATAAACATCGTCTTTGATCTTTATAATAATTTGCGGCATTCAAATCAGAAATCCAAATAATTAAAGACAGTCGGCTCTCAACTGTCATGCTTCGTGGGACACTCTGTAGAGTGTAGAATTCTCAGTGATTTAAAGAGATTGTACAAGCGTAATTTCATGGAACTCTCACTATACAAAGATAGCAATGCCCGATTTACCAGGGTACGCTTTAAATCTTTATCTGATAAAAGATGTGGAAGATAACGTCGTTTTCCTGACTATACACATGTTTAATTTAGACAAATTCTCCAGTCTTTCTTACAGGCAAAAAATGCGCCATGTCACTTTTGCAAAGACTCCGCAAAAGAAAATAAAAAGATTAAAGAAGCAAAAATATTGATATCTCAATCAGGCTTTCATGGGCATCGTTCTAAATCGGGAATTGGCATAATTGCACTGAGGGTTATTTAAAAATGCGCTTACAGTCCCTTTTTATAAGAACTAAGTCTATTTTTTCCATGAATAACTCAGTATCAAACCTTTCAGTCAAGCTACTGAAGGTAATAGCTCGAAAATTCAAAATATGTTTTCGTGAAAACAGTTTCGTTTCAAGGTCCCAAGGTCTTTAAAACGGATGAGAAGGGAGGGGAAATAGAGGAGAAAGGGAGGGGAAAAGAGAGGGGAATGGGAGGAGGAAGGAAGGGGAAAGGGGGAAAGTTAGAATATAAAGAGGGGAAAGGAAGAGGAAAGGAAGGGGAAAGGGTGTGGGAAGGGGGATAGAGGGAGGATAGGCAGGAAAAACAAAAGGAAAAGGAAGGGAAAGATGTACATTTAAACATAATTAGTATCAATATATACAAGGAGACAACATTGTTAAAAGTTTTGATTGCTAACACTGTTCATAATGTGTATTTTTATATATGCTGTTTAAAAGCTTTATATAAATAAAAATTTAAATCGAAAGTCGTCTTTATTGTATAATGAAGCTACAACTGTAAAAGAATATTAAAACTACGCATTGGAGGTAAACAAATGTAAATGCGTAAATCCTGAAAGATATACCTTACACATATATATCTATATATTAAGCTAGCCAGACTGAAATGAGTCAGCTGACCTTCAAAGAGCTCAGTGGACAAAATCATGCTTTTAGGAGTAAAATCAATATTTAACGTTTTTAAATAGATTTTATTTCACAAAATTAGAGCTCTTAAGGATAATTAGAAATGTTCATCTTAAATAAACATAAAAAATTTAAATTATCCAATTTTATTTTCGATAACACACACCCCTGCATACATATTATATTTAAACTATTTTTTTAAATTATTGAAATCAGGATCAGGAACAGGAACAGGAACAGGATCAGTTTCAGAAGGAAAATGATATTGAAAATGATAAAAATGAAAATGATGATAAAAATTATAAAGATAATGATGAAAATGATAATGAAAATGATGATGAAAATAATAATGAAAATGGTGATGAAAATGATAATGATGATGAAAAATGATAATGAAAATGGTGATGAAAATGATAATGAAAATGATGATGAAAATGATAATGAAAATGATGATGAAAATAATAATGAAAATGGTGATGAAAATGATAATGAAAATGATGATGAAAATGATAAAGAAAATGATGATGAAAATGATAATGAAAATGGTGATGAAAATGATAATGAAAATGATGATGAAAATGATAATGGAAATGATGATGATAATGATAATGAAAAAGATGATGGAAATGATAGTAAAAATGAAGATAAAACCATAAGGAGGATGATGATAAAATAGATAAAGAAAATGATTATGAAAAGGATTATGGAAATGATAATGAAAATGGTGATGAAAATGATGAAAATGATAATGAAAATGATAATGAAAATGATAATAAAAATGGTGATGAAAATGATGAAAATGATAAAAATTGTAATGAAAATGATGAAAATGATAATGAAAATGATTATAAAAATGATTATAGAATGATAATGGAAATAGTAATGAAAATGGTGATGAAAATGATGAAAATGATAATGAAAATGATTATGAAAATGATCATGAAAGGGAATATGGAAATGACAATGATAATGGTGATAAAAATGATAAAAATCATAATGAAAATGATTATGAAAAGTATCATGGAAATGATAATGAAAATGGTGATGAAAATGATGAAAATGATGAAAATTGTGATTAAAATGATACTGAAAATGGTGATGAAAATGATGAAAATGATGAAAATGATGAAAATGATGTACCTGAAGAGTGTCGGAGAACTTTAGCAAGCATATTTACGGCAGCATTTCCTCCACCGAACATTTTCCACTTCTATCTTTACCACGGGTCCTGGAATAGGTGATGTAACGATACAAAACTTAGAAATTATTTTAATCTCTGCTTAAACGTCTCTGAATTAATTCTAATGATTAATGATTAATAAAACCATTTTTTAGTGTATCTCTGTAACTAACTATATTTAGTTATAATGATACAGGTAGAATTAAACTGACCAGCATGGTCAGATCGTTAAACTTATAGATTAGCATATAACAAGGTGCAAAGATATAGTAAGTACAATATTATAGTATATTGCAGAGATCTGTATCATTTTTGTGAAAGTCAAAACTTTTAAGAACGAAAAAAAGTTTCTTTAGTGAGAATGACGTTCAGAAAAAATAACTAGGGATTATTTATGGATTTCTACTCGGTGGATAACAATAAAATTTTTATCATTGAACATGATAAAGTGGTGAATATAGAAGTTGAACAGAATTTGCTGAAAATTTGAACATTTTTAAAAATTTAATACTAAAAAGGATAGCCCTGCAAGGCAGAGGCCCAATGGAGTTACGCATGCCGTATTGAATGGCAAGACAGAGAGAGAAAATGCGCGTGCCTCTGGGTTATTGTGAACAGAAACCCCTAAATCTTGAAAATAAGACATCTAGTGTTCTATCTGTTTTGTTATTAATCTATGGGAAACATTTATTTTTAATATTTTATATATTCTGTGCCATTTAAACCTATTTATAGTAATTTTAAAAGGTTAATTGAACTGTTATCTTTATATTGCGATCCACAATTTTAGTACCCTAATTACTAATTATTGTTCTTTATCATTATTCCATATATAAACTTTGCTTTGTCTCTTTATTTGTATCCAATAATAAATAAACATAAAAACGACTGAACCGATAGGATCCAATTTTTGTGTGGGACCTGACATGACCCCAGGAAAGGTTTATGGATGCTCCGAATTTAAGTAAAAATCTGAAAACACATTAAAAAATCGAGAATCCGAAAAATTTGTTATTATTTTCAATCGAGGAGAAAAAGCTTTGTTGAAGAGAAAATTAAAAATTTTAAAATTTGATATGGAAGATGGCATATAGTTAATGTAAATTTTAGAACTCTACCAGTGTAATGTATGTCCCTGAAAAAAACATTTGAAGTACCAATCTGACGTTTAGGCCGCTATAGAGCACTTTTTACGAACTAATTAGTATGGATTTTTAGGTGACCCTCCCTTTAAAGGGCCCCCCACCCCTAAAGAGCCCTTACCCCTAAAGAGCCCCCCCCCCCGAAAGAGCTCCCCTCCTCAAACGTAATTGTCAAGATATCTTTTTTTTGTTAAACCAAATGTTCAGAGGAAACAAATTTGAATTTATAAATTGAGGGTCACTTAAAATTATGCTTACAGTCCTTTTGTTAAAAGGGACTGTAAGCGTAATTTCAATTGACTCTCCATGCAACAATGACAATTGTACCCTTGAAACCTTAATCTGATCGGAAATGTAAAAAGATACCGTCGTTTTTATTATTAGAAAAGTGATTGACTCTAAATAGTCTCTGTGGTTCTTATATAAATGAGAAATGAACAAAATGAAAATGAAAATGAACAGTTTATAGAAACAAAAACAAGGATAACCAATTCATACTTGGTCAGACAAAGCTTTCAAGGGTACCGTTGTAAATCGGGCATTGTTATCTTTTCCTAGAGGATCACTTGAAATTACGCTGACCGTCCCTTTAAGAATGTATTTTGACCTGAATCAGGGTCTAAGGTTGGCCTTATAACAACATGTTAAACTCTTGAAAACCCAGCCTAGACTACCCTCAAGCTTAATTAACTGAGAATTAATTACTCTATAGTTTATATAATACCTTGTTTTAAACAATTAGTTGTTAAATAATATAACAATTTTTTTTATAATTATGTTTCATTTTGTTCTGTTTTTGTGAAGTGTATATTCCCTTTCATTCCTTCCAACACCCCCCCTGGATGTTACAAATATTCCGACTTTCTTTTAAACATTTTTTAAATGTAAATTATCAACTGAACTACTGAAATTCCGGATCTATTTTTGAACGGAATAGTTTCTAAACCTAACTTTGGGTTCTAGGCATACTTACCCTTATCTATACATATACTTTGCTTGTCTGTCTGTTTTTGCGTTTGCATCCAATAAACGTAAAAACGACTTAACCCATCAGGCCCTCTAATGACCCCAGGGAAGGTTTTATGGATGCTCAAATTAACAAAAATTGTGTCTAAAACGTTTTTATTTTGTAAAATTTTGAAAATGGCTAAAAAATTTTATCAAATCTGCAAATTTTTTTGTTATTGTTTTATACTGTACACAGAGATGCTCACAGATAGAGTATCACATTAAAAGTTGGGGTAAAAATGGGCACGAAGCACCATACAATTCTAATATTTATGTATATACTTTGTATCCAGTAAACGTCAAAACGGCTGAACCGATCTTTGTGTAGGACTTCACATGAGCCCAGGAAGGTTTATGGATGCTCAGAATTACAAAAAGGTTATTATTTTTGTAAAACTTGTTATCAAAAAGAAAAGGCTGAAAAATTAAGATTGTGGTATATTCACAGCTGATCTCAGACTTCAGAACCTTTTGCTTTAATCTCATACAACTTTAAATTGCCATTTTTTTGTATTTTTACATTTTTCGATAAATGTTTTAACGGTTTTCAGGTTATACAGGTTTACAGGTTTACAGGTTCAAAGGTTCAAAGGTTCAAAGATTAAAGGTTTTCAGGTTTACAGGTTTACAGGTTTACAGGTTTACAGATTTACAGGTTTACAGGTTTACAGGTTTACAGGTACAAAGGTTTACAGGTTTACAGGTTTACAGGTTCAAAGGTTCAAAGGTTTACAGGTTTACAGGTTTACAGGTTTATAGGTTTACAGGTTTACAGGTTTACAGGTTTACTGGTTTACAGGTTTACAGGTTTACAGGTTTACAGGTTTACAGGTTTACAGGTTCAAAGGTTCAAAGGTTTACAGGTTTACAGGTTTACAGGTTTACAGGTTTACAGGTTTACAGGTTTACAGGTTTACAGGTTTACAGGTTTACAGGTTTACAGGTTTACAGGTTTAAAGGTTTACTGGTTTACAAGTTTACAGGTTTAAGGTTTATAGGTTTACAGGTTTACAGGTTAACAGGTTATAGCATAGCAATTTTTATAATTCTCCTAAATCTGCAACTTTTCTTAAATCAACAAAAGTTTTATTTTACTATTATTTTCTTTAATTATTTATCATTCTTACAAAATACGTATAAAGTAAATTCTCTTTAACCAGTATTATAGAATTATTGAAAACTTTATTAATTTTGTGAAATTCTCTTTTTTGTAAGTCATTTAACAGTTAATATTTTGCACAAAAAAATTGTATTTTATAGTTGTAAAACAGATAATTCTAATTTGATTCAAATCAAGATATATATATATATATATATATCGCTGCATGAAGAAAACGCAAATTAAAGGGTCTCTAATAAGCGTAATTTCAAGTGACCTTCAGGCCTCAATGCAAAGATAGTAATGCCTGATTTACAACGGCATCCTTAAAGCGTTAACCTGAGCTGAAAACTTTAGAATGGTGGATATTGTATCCTGAAAAGGTTATAGAATTAACCAACCAGAGTCGCGTTTTAGAAGCCGGGAAATTTGAAATTTTGCGCGCCATTCAAGATTACTACAGAAACGAATTTTGAAAATTTTGAAAACCCGGTTTTCGATTTTTCTAAACTAAATCCAAAAAAGAGTTGATTGAGCAAGAAATTAAAAGTGTCCCCATTGGATATTCGGATTAACCAGTCGGGATTAAAGGTATCTCATAATAGAGTTCCCAGCTCTGAGCTGTAAATTTGGAATGGAATATCCTTAATCCCGATCGGTTAATTAATATGGAGATTAATAACAAGTGGGGAAAAGGCATTTTTTAATCTCAAGATTAAGAGAAAGAGTGGATCAAGCATTAATCCCGATATCCACCGTTCAAAAGTTCCTAGCTCTGGTCAAACGTGTAGAAGATATCGTCGTTTTCTTTACTCGAAAACTGATTATTTCTGATAATTTCTTCATTGCTTTTTTAAAGCAAAAAATACATAGGGCAATTTTGCTGAGAACCCGCAAATGACAATAAACAGTTTAAGTAAAAAGCATACATATCTGATTTATACCTCCTTGATCAGACAAAGCTTTTAAGGGACAACGTTGAAAATCAGGTATTTTCATGTTTACCATATTATCTTAAAAACTTCTTATTATGGATCTATCTGTATCTAAATCAAGATTGCTTAGAAAGGTCGCTTACTCTCAATGCGCTCCAATGTAAAGAAAATGTCTTCTTATAATCAGTGATGTCAGTGAAATCCGTAAATGACGTCCATCATTGAAGGAATAATTTGCGGATTTCATAGTCCTTTGAATAGAAGACGACATTTCCCGAACATTGGAGCTCATCGAGAGTAAAGCAACCTCCCTAAACCACCTTGATCTAAATAGATAAAAGATAAGATTACTATTCTGTCTATTTCCCGAAGAAACAGACAATTTTTGTTCGAATTATCTATTGAGCATTACAGTTTTCTTGTAAAGGAATTGAGCCTTTGAAACAAATCTAAATTTGCTAACAACTATATATTTGCAACCTGCCAGTGTACAACTATTTCAAAGGATCCAACAAAATTAATAGTTTAAAATATCCAAAGTCTACGACATCGGGATGCAAAGATAGAAGGATTACTAAATTAGAGTTTGAGGCAAAGATTCTTTTGCAAAGAACTTTTAGCGGAAAAATACGGATATCTCCCTCGTCAATGATCAGACAAATGTTAGGTTTAGTCTTGTGTAAATCGGACATAACATTTTCCTTTATGCTAATCAAATACAATATGTAAATATCAGTTTTTTTATTAAAAACAAGAACACAAAAGTCTTTTAATGTAAATATAATAAAGCTATTTTAACTGAAAAAGTTAATCCCATGTGCCCCATGGTTGTATAAAAGGCTTCATAAAATACATTTTTTTTTCTTTAAAATTAAAACTTTTTTCCCAAGTGTTTTCAAAATTCGACAAAACTGAGCACTTCTGTTAGTAATCTATAAAATATAGCTTGTTGTTGGTAATATATATAATAATTGCATAGGACAATTTTGCAGAGAACCCGCATATGAAAACAAAAAGCATAGCTATCTAATTTATACCTACTTGATCACAGCACACAAAGCTTTAAAGGAGTAACGTTGTAAATATATATTTTTAGAACTAGGACTAGGAAAATGTAAAAGCTCAGGTTTTTATTTGATAAATACGTTAAATACATAAATATCAGTCGTTTATTAAAACACAAACAAAACAAAAACTAATTTCATAATCTTATAATTTTATCATAATCTTTGATAAATGGCTGCTCGGTCTCCTCCGTCTATAAAGTAATCAGCCTAAACAAAAATAAATAATATTAAATAAAATCCCCTGGGCCGCAGGATATAAGTCCCCTGGGCTGCAGGATATAAGTCCCCTGGGCTGCAGGATATAAGTCCCCTGGGCTGCAGGATTTAAGTCCCCTGGGCTGCAGGATATAGGTCCCCTTGGCTGCAGGATATAGGTCACCTGGGCTGCAGGAAATAAGTCCCATGGGCTGCAGGATATAAGTCCCCTGGGCTGCAGGATATAGGTTCCCTGGGCTGCAGTATATAAGTCCCCTGGGCTTCAGGATATAGGTCCCCTGGGCTGCAGGATATGGGTCCCCTGGGCTGCAATCAATAGGTCACCTGGGCTGCAGGATATAAGTCGCCTGGGCTGCAGGATATAAGTCCCCTGGGCTGCAGGATATAGGTCCCCTGGGCTGCAGTATATAGGTCCCCTGGGCTGCAGGATATAAGTCCTTTGGGCTGCAGGATATAGGTCCCCTGGGCTGCATGATAAAGGTCCCCTGGGCTGCAGGATATAGGTCCCCTAGGCTGCAGGATATAAGTCCCCTGGGCTGCAGGATATAAGTCCCCTGGGCAGCAGGATATAGGTGGGGTCTCAGGGAACCAGTTTTCAGTCAGTTTTCAGGGGACTAGTGTAATCTGATATTTTAAATCTTTTATTTGAATTTGAAGCAAAAATAAAGAAGTAATGAAATATTTTCTTAAACAGATAAATTTTGAATAAACGGAGTTCAGGCAAACTTTTCCGGAAATGTCGAGATTTTTTTTCCACAAAGAAAAACGCATTAAAAATCTAAAAAAGGAATTACGCAAAATTCGATTTATATTATGGAAAATGTTTAAAATGTATAAATTCAATAATCCCTATGCTAATATTTTTAAAGAATCCATTAGATCAATATTATTTCTAATTTTATAATATTGAACCAAAATTTAAAAGCGTAATTCAATTTCAAAATCAGATTAAACCAGTTTAGTCTGAGAGTTTTAGCGCAGACTATTCTTATTTAAATGAATGTATGTATTTAATATTATGGAATATTTTTGAAAATATTCTTTGATATCAAAAAGGAATTGAATATTTCAATATTTCAACTATATTATGTAAAATATAATCTGTTAAATCCTGCATGTCCCACTGTATCTTATGTAAAATATAACCTGTAAAATCCTGCATGTCCCACTGTATATTATGAAACTTGTAACCTGTAAAATCCTGCATGTCCCACTGTATATTATGTAAAACTTAACCTGTAAACTCCTGCATGTCCCACTGCATATTATGTAAAATATAATCTGTAAAATCCTGCATGTCCCACTGTATAATATGTAAAATATAATCTGTAAAATCCTGCATGTCCCACTATATATTATGAAACTTGTAACCTGAAAAATCCTGCATGTCCCACTGTATATTATGTAAAATGTAACCTGAAAAATCCTGCATGTCCCACTGTATATTATGTAAAATGATACCTGTAAAATTCTGCATGTCCCACTGTATATTATGTAAAATGTAATCTGAAAATTTCTGCATGTCCCACTGTATATTATGTAAAATGTTACCTGTACTGCATGTCCCACTGTATATTATGTAAATGTAACCTGTAAAATTCTGCATGTCCCACTGTATATTATGTAAAATGTTACCTGTAAAATCCTGCATGTCCCACTGTATATTGTGTAAAATGTTACCTGTAAAATCCTGCATGTCCCACTGTATATTATGTAAAATGATACCTGTAAAATTCTGCATGTCCCACTGTATATTATATAAAATGTTACCTGTAAAATCATGCATGTCCCACTGTATATTATGTAAAATGTTACCTGTAAAATCCAGCATGTCCCACTGTATATTATATAAAATGTTACCTGTAAAATCCATTCCGTTTTAAACTGTTCTAAATACCCAGGTTCAGGTTCACAATGTCTGAAACAAAATTGATAATATGAAATCTTAAATATTCATAATCATAACTCCTCGTGGAGCACTTGGCATGTCTGATTCACTATAATATCTTGAAACCTTTGTTTGTTTAATCAAGGATAAATGAGATATTCTAGTTTAAAAACTAAAAATTAATATTTTTCATTCGTAATTTCTCTTTTACAATGACAAGCGGATTTTCATTGCAGAGATAGTGAAGAAATTAGTCAAAATTGAACACATATTTGAAGAATAACTTCGCAATCTTCAGATAGATTTTCAAATAAATATTCAAATAGTTATTCAAATAGTTATTCAAATAGTAATTGAAATAGTTATTCAAATAGTTATTCCAATAGTTCTTCAAATAGTTATTCAAATAATTATTCCAATAGTTATTCCAATAGTTATTTAAATATTTATTCAAATAGTTATTCAAATAGTTGTTCAACTAGTTATTCAAATAGATGTATAAATAGTTACTCAAACAGTTATTCAAGTAATTTTTCAAATAGTTATTTAAATAGCTATTCAAATAGTTATTCCAATAGCTATTCAAATAGTTATTCCAATAGTTATTCAAATAGTTATTCAAATAGTTATTCAAATAGTCACTCAAATATTTGTTCAAATAGACTTTTAAAAATAGCTATTGACGTAGCACCCTGGACTAAACAGGGTGAGATGCATTTAGTTTCATCTATTTGAACTTAAATGTATTTTGTTCTTTAATTAATTACTCTTACCCTTTTCATATAAAACATATATGTCATTGCCAACAAAAAAGTGCAAAAGAGTAAAGAGTGAACAATTTATGATTGCTAGGTCAAATTATGATTGACATTTCAAATTATGATTGCCATTTCAAATTATGAATGCTAGGACAAATTATGATTGCTAGGTCAAATTATGATTGCTAGGTCAAATTATGATTGCTAGGTCAAATTATGATTGCTAGGTCAAATTATGATTGCTAGGTCAAATTATGATTGATAGGTCAAATTTTTCCGAAAGTAGGGTTTCCAATCTGAATTCCGTTACGCGGTATTGCGCAAAATTGCGCAAAATTGTGCGGAATTGTGCGGAATTGAGCGGTATTGCGCGGAATTGCGTGCAAGTAAAGTATACTTTCAGGTTGAAAACCCTATCCCCTATAGCGCTTCCTTATCCACACCCAAATAGCTTCCGACAAAATGTCTTTATTTTGAATGCTTATTAAAGAGAAATGCAGCGTTCATTTAAGATTCTTAAGACGTCATAGGATCTATTAAAAGTAAACATTCTGGCTCTTTGAACCAAAAGTTGTTTAAGTGTTTAAGTGTAATACATGAGTTGTGAAAGAAAAATATTAAAGACTAAATGAAAAATATCAGAAAGGTTGTGTTCTCTATATCTTTAAAACCTGATGGTGCAAACCATTGATATTTCAAACGTTGATTTTTTGGTCTAATTAATTTTATAGTTTGAAATATCTAAGGTCCACATACATTAGTTGCAAAGATATATAAATTAGAAAATAAGAGTTTGTGACAAATACTCAATACTCAATATAGCCAATTTCTTATGTCTCATTCGAAATAAAAAGTTTTATAAAGGTTGTGTTAAAAGAACTTAGTTGTTGCAGCGAACTAAAATTTTTCTAAATCTTCGTAATAGTGTAAACCTTCGATATTTTAAACTTAGATTTTTTGGTCTAACATATCTTTTATATTTTAAAATATCCAAGGTCCATGGCATTGTCCAATGACCACCATTCAATGACCACCTGGATGGTCATGAGTTATGACCACTTCTAAAGAAAATAATTTTGAAAAAGATTTCCTTGGCTCCGAAACCCCTACAAAAACATGTATGTATTTTAGCTATAAATAGTTTAGGCATTTTTCGCAAATTCTGGCCCACTGTGAACTGGGAGAAATGGGGGATTTTTAACGGAAAAATGCCTCGGAAAATTAGAAAATGGTTTTACCTGAGTCCATCTATAGGTCCTATTAATATATTTACCTGAGTCCATCTATAGGTCCTATTAATATATTTACCTGAGTCCATGTATAGGTCCTGTTAATATATTTACCTGAGTCCATGTATAGGTCCTATTAATATATTTACCTGAGTCCATCTATAGGTCCTATTAATATATTTACCTGAGTCCATGTATAGGTCCTATTAATATATTTACCTGAGTCCATCTATAGGTCCTATTAATATAACACAAGGACCTAAACACAATTCATAATTTTTTTTACTTTAAACTAGCTTGGGAACCCAGCGTTGCCCAGGTTACTCAAAGTTACTCCCGCCGTTTACCCGCACATGGTCTTAAATTACGATTTTAACAATTTTTCCCTATAAAAGTCGACCCACTCCTGTTAGATTCTTAAAACCAAGCTAAGAACATTCCAGCGGTTCTCTCGAGTTCCACCAAATAAAAATTTGAGGCAAATTGGTCATGGAGTTCCTATGTTATGATGGGCATAGACAAATAGAGATTATTACTTTTATGTTTTTATTTAAATAATTGGTTTTTAAAAATGTTTTTAAAAGTTGTTTACAGCGACTGATTACTCTTCTCATTCTCTCAAAATCCGATACTTATATTTTTGCAAATCTGACAAACTAATTTTCAAACTTTTTAATTCTGCTTGATCAATGAGTAAAAGTTTGAAATATGAAAAGTTTACAACAACAGGTTGCAAATCTATAAGGATTAGAAAATTATAGTTTTCCAGTACCTTTTCAAGGAATTGAACCATCACAAGAAATTCACATTTTCGAATCTCTATATCTTTGCAGTCTAGTGGTCGGAGGTCTAAACTTTTTTTAACTTTAAATTATTTGATCTAAAAAACTTAGTTTGAAACATGAAAGGTTCACGACAAGTTCCAAAGACAAAGTAATCGAAAATTAAAGTTTATGTTGCATGAAAAAGTTAGATTTTTTCTTTCTTTTTTTCTTCAATTTTTAATTAGAAACAGGTGTATTCATAAAACTTATATTTTTCTTGATTTTGTCAATTTACAATCTATCTATTTATCTATTATTTATAAACTCTTCTGTAAAAAATTCTTGTGATTAAACTTTTGATCATTTCTTTTGTTTTTCTCTTGGAAACCTTTGAAGTGTCTTTTACAGTTCTTTAGGGTTTCGGTTCTATTAAAGGGACTGTAATGTAAGCGTAGTGTTCTATTAAAGGGACTGTAATGTAAGCATAATGTTCTATTAAAGGGACTGTAATGTAAGCGTAATGTTCTATTAAAGGGACTGTACGCGTAATTTCAAGTGATCCTCCATGCACAGATGTCAATGTCAAATTCACTATAAATTGACCTTAAAAACTTTTTCTGATAAAGTAGGAATTTCGGAAATCCGCCAAATGTCTGGGGACATTTCGGAGATTTCTCGTTTAAGATTTTTCGGAATTAAACACTTTTACAGCTAGAATAACGATGATATCTTCTACATCAATGATCAGATCCAAGGATACCGTTGTGAATTGGGGTTTGCCATCTTTAGATGAAGAGTCACTTAAACATACGCTTACAGTCCCTTTAAATCAAAATTTTTAGAAACGTTTCAGAAAATAGGACGATATTGGATTATATCTTTATTCTTTATATCTTAGTAATCTTTTTTCTCTCTCTGTTTTTTTCTTTTTGTGTTCGATCATAACTCAGGAACCTCTGGACCGATTTGCGTCAAATTTAAATTTGGGAAATGGGTAGAACAACGGGAATGTTTTAGCTTGTGTTAAAAGTTCCCAAAAGCTGGGTTATCAAGCTTTTCTTTCAATATTGATAATTATCTTTTAAGATATTAAGTAATAATACAAAACAATTTTTTTTTAAATTTTAAAAGTTTTAAAAGATGTAAAATGTAAATTTCAAATGATAAAATTGACTTGAAAGTGAAGGCTCACTAATATTTTTAAATACTTTTAAATATTTTTACCACAAATATTAAGTTTAAAGATTTCTTAATTCATCTCTGATATTGTAAAATAATATTTTGAGATTCAAACGTCTCTCAGACCCTTTTTTAAGGTACAGGGATACCCACAAAGGATGAAACTCCTCGAGACGACTGTACAGAATCTATACTGTCTTTACTTCTCGAGACGACTGTACAGAATCTATACTGTCTGTTTCCTTATTCTCACGATGCCCTGAAACTGTAAACCTGTTTCTTTCTTTGTCAAATTATTATATATAAGCCATTAAAAGATTGAATCTATAGGCACAAGGCTTAACTTAATCGTCAAATTTTTAGAGTTTGAGGTCGTCTTTACAGTCTCATCCTTTGCGTATTTAGATTTTGTGTTCCTGTGTAATTTTTGTATATATATAATAATAATAATAATAATAATAATAATAATAATAATAATAATAATAATAATAATAATCATAATAATAATAATAATAATAATAATGATAATAATAATAATAATACACCTGTGTAATTGTCCAGATATTGATGAAAGTATTCCATATTATTGAAATAGCAGAACATAATAGCGGAATCATCCGATATTCTAGTGAGCTGACCCTTTTCCGTCACATATTCTAGAATATTTTATATAAGAGAGATAGCAGAACATAATAGCGGAAGTGGGACTCATAAAACTGTGGAATAGAAAGACGATATTTAAAAAGTCTTCATAAATTACGGAGAAATGATTTACCTGAGGGTATATACTACATATATAAAATGAGGAGGTTTACCTAACGGTATATAATGAGGGTGTTTACCTAAGGGTATATAATGAGGGGGTTTATCTAAGGGTATATAATGAGGGGGAGTAAGGGTATAAAATGAGGAGTTTAACTAAGAGTATAAAATGAAGGGTTTAACTAAGGGTATAAAATGAGGGGGTTTAACTAAGGGTATATAATGAGGGGGACTAAGGGTATAACATGAGGGGTTTAACTAAGGGTATATAATGAGGGGGTTTAACTAAGGGTATATAATGAGGAGGTTTAACTAAGGGTATAAAATGAGGGGGTTTAACTAGGGTATAAAATGAAGGGGTTTACCTAAGGGTATATATTGAGGGGAATTTACCTAAAGGTATATAATGAGGGGAATTTACCTAAGGGTAAATAATGAGGGGGATTTACCCAAGGGTATATAAAGAGAAGGTTTATCTAAGGTTATGTTATATAATGATTTACCTAAGGTTATACAATGAAGGGGATTTACCTTAAGGGTATATCATGAGGAGGATTTACCTAAGGTTATAAAATAAGGGGGTTTACCTAAGGGATTTATATAATGAGGGGATTTACCTAAGAGTTTATAATGAGGGGGATTTATCTAAGGTTATATAATGAGGAGGTTTACCTAAGGGTATATAATGAGGAGGTTTACCTAAGGGTATATAATGAGGAGGTTTACCTAAGGGTAGATAATGAGGGAGTTTATCTAAGGTTATATAATGAGGGGGTTTACCTAAGGGTATATAATGAGGAGTAGAATGAGGGCCCTCCCACCAACCTTTATTCACCTCAAATCCATAAACCTCCAAATCAGAGGCTTCCTGTATACAGTTAAACAAATATTTATACATTTAGAACCTGACAGTTCTGGAATAGGAAGACGACCTTTAGACTCAAGTACTGACTTTAACACTAAACAGGCTGGGGGGGGGGGGGGGTTTGCGCCCCCCCCTGTATTTTTTTTTATCCTAGCACTCTCATTTTTTACACTATCAATGGGAAATTTTGTGACTGTTAATGAATAGTAATTTAAAGGATTTTTTGTTAAAAAATATATTTCTTAAAATTTATAAGGTAGGTTACAGGGCGGAAAAAAAGTCCGTTATGTGAAAAAAAATCTAAAATAGCCCATAACTGTTTTGTGACTAAAGCTACAGATCTAAAAACTATATTTTCGAAAAGCCCTTGAATAATGTAGGGAGAAACATGTGTCACACTTTGATATTTCTATGAGCTGGCTCTGAAAAATTGGGCTATGAATATGCATTTCAACCCTATACCTATTCTCTAAGGCTATTTACAAACGCNTACATAGATTCAGGCCCCCAGCCTTTATTGGGTTAAATGGTCCATTTAACTTAATAAATTATTTAGTATGATACAAGTAAAAGTATTTTCTGTGCAAGTATGTACATATTTTAGTATCACCATAATCTTGTTTTCCTTTTCCACTCTAGCAATTAGGAATCTTATTTTATATTTGATAATTGAGTGCCGGAAAACCAGAGTACACCTGGTCCAGACCAAGGTTATAATGCAAGGAAAGTTAAGCGCAGTTGCGTATAATCTGCGAACATATTGAAACCAGTTCTCTCTGGACGGAATTTGTAAACAAGAATAGATGCATCAGTGTTCGTTTAGTATCCGAGGAGGTTAAAAGCATTACATTTTGATAATTTTGATAATTTACATAAAAGTTTCGTATGACCAGAATATATTTCATTGATTTTTTATGTGAAAGATGGATTCCATGGCAGGCTTCGACATCCGTCTTGTGTTTACATTACATCACAGAGACAGTACACTGCAGTACATAAGATGCGTACATCTCTGAAATAACTTTCCTTGCATTATAACCTTGGTCTAGACTGAAGGTCCGAAAAGTTTAGTCTGTAAAAACGCTAGAACCGATTTCACCCAGTAAATATAGATTTGTTGTACTTCCTCATTTTTACCTTTTTGTTTGTCTATGAAGTTTAAATATTAAGGTTCACTTTACTCTATATATATTTTACCCTTGGTCAATGAATGATGAACAGGGTGTCCCAATAAACATGGGAATTCAGTGACGAGTTCGATATCGTCTTTTTAGATAATTCTTTGATTTAGTATGGTGATACCTACTGAGAAAGCTGAAATCTGTAAGAGTTTTGTCTCATAGAGTAATAAAACGAAGAGGTGAAGCTTAGCTCAGATGTACACTTGTATATAGAGTGATCGTAAATCTAAGGAGTGGTTTTATGTAGATATTAGAATATTAATATTGATAATTAGATAAAACTTAATATTAATTTAAATAAAGAAAGAAAATCTAAAAATTGGTCAATTCCATAAAATCCCCCTTAGAAATACGATCACTCTATAGACAAGTGTACAGTGTTAGATACGTAAACATATCGTGATGTATACAACCGACCGCTCTATTAATTAATTAATAGGGAGGTCGGTTGTGTACATCTGAGCTAAGCTTCATCTCTTCGTTTTATTACTCTATGTTTCGTCTGCTATGTTCACATTTTGTTTATTTATGTTTTGACTGCATACAGTTGTACTTAGTAAAACAAGAAAATTGCAGTATAAAAACAGAGCAAACTTGCCCGTTTTCACTGTTCATCTTGCGGAGACATTATATTGAAACCAGTTCTCTTTGGGCAGAATTTGTAAGCAAGAATAGATGCATCAGTGTTCGTTTAGTATCCGAGGAGGTTTAAAGCATTAAATTTTGATAATTTTGATAATTCACATAATAGTTTCCTATGACCAGAATATTTCATTGATGTTTTTATGTGAAAGATGGATCCCATGTCAGGCTGTAACATCCGTCTTGTGTTTACATTACCGCCCAGAGACAGTACACTGCAGTACAAAAGATGCATACACTTCAGAAATAACTTTCCTTGCATTACATCCTTGATTTAAACAAATATAAATTTAATCATGTGAATATGAACATATTAAAAAAAACATATATTATCACAATTAATATGACACCAGACATGCGCAAAAATGAAAAACCTTTTTTTTTCAAAAGTTACAGAGTGGATCTCTTATCTCTAGAAATTAATCTAAAGACTAAATTAGTCTTGAGATTAGGAAAAAGAGAGGATTAAGCATTGATCTCGATCATTGTCAGATAAAAGAATTGTCTTCTGCGACGTCAGAAATTTCCGCTGGATTGTAGTATACTAATCAGATAGGGCTTTACGGTTGTTAATCGTTTTCAAAAACTTCTCTATTTTCTAAAAATGATGGTTTAGTTTTTGGAAAAAGACCTATTTTTTTTAAACGAACTACTCGAACTTTCCAAAAACGAAAAAAATATCGTTTTTTATAAACTGATACCTATCGTTTTTTCAAAAAACTGTAGTTTTTTATTTTCGCTATTGAATCTAAGTTTCCTTAAAATTAGTTTAAATTTTTTACAGAAAGATAAAGTAATGAATGTAGTCCTAAATGTTTTTTATCGAAACAAGTAACCTGAATCGGTATACCGACATAGGGTTTTCCGAACAAAAAAGTTATTTTCTCTTTAAAAGGTCGTTAAGGATCATCAAGAAAGGGACGTATTTTTTTAAGTAACCTCATATTCTCAAATGGAGCAAAAATTTACCTGTATTATCCATTCCAGTGCACCACAACCACAACCAATACTTGATATTTTCTTCAACCCTAGCCTACTTAACTCCTAGGGACAGGCATTGATTTGAAAATTTAAGGTTTTCTGTTTTTGTTCCAAAATGGTTGCATTTCAAAACATTTTGCCAAAATTCAACCCTGTCAAAAGATGTAAGCCAAAAAGATTGAACCAATCGTCTTCATTTCGTCTTGGTTTTATATCTAAGGGAAGTGAATTTGCACATTTGAAAAAAGAACTTAAAGAGCATAACATTTCCCCCATCCTCCCGTCCCCTCCGATTTAAATACAAAACCATTTCATTTATTTAAATTACCTGTTCCAAGAAGTTTACAAGACTAAAGAAAACATTTTTCTTCTAACCTTTTGAATTCTATATATCTGGGTATTTTTCTATAGGAGATAATTCTGTCAATTTTCTTCCTTGTCTTAGCCACATAAATCTCAAAACATCCCATGGACATCATGAAGAGTTGCATCATGAAGAGTTGCATCATGAAGAGTTGAATCAACACAACAGCTAATATATACATTCAAACACCATGGAAAGGTTACAATCTTTTTCCTTTAAATATTTTTCTAATTAAAAAAAATGTTTTTTTTCCTAATTGAAGGTCGAATCCAGACTAGAAGGGGTTCCCTGTAGTCCTCGTCTTCCTAAACGTTATTTCATAACTTAAAAAGTTTTTCATTTTAAGTTTAGAATATTTATAATTTTAAAGAAGAAATAGGAACACTAAAGGAAGGGGGGGGGAGAGAAAGGATACAGTAAGAACCATAATACTCTGAAATAGGAAGACGACTTTTAGACTCAAGTTATGCCTTTAAATAGTTTGCACTGTAAACAGACCCATTTAACTTAAGAAGTGATTTGATAAGGTACTTGTAAAACTATTTGCTTTGTACGTAACAACATCAAATAATATCAACCAGTTATACTAACCTGGAAAATATCAAGAACTGCTTGCCAATCATTTTTCTTCATAAGTTCAACAATTTCATTAAGTTTTTCTCTTTTCTCAAGATCGTACATTGTCTGGTTGTCTTAACCTTCAAAGATTGTTTTTTTTCAACTTCTGAAAAATTCAAAAGTTTCATTGAAAGTTATTCAAGCAAACATACATTGAATACAAAAGAATTTGAACTCAAAGAAATTTAAAATTTACCGCTGTAGAAAAAGTCTTCATTTTTGAGCCATATCTCACGAAAATTATTGAATTTTTAATAGTATGTCATAATTTATTCTACACCATTTTGAGAACCCAGCTTTGCATGAAAACTAAAGTTTCTCAATTAAAGTCAAGCCACTCTATTTAAAACTTTCAAGCCAAGCTAAAGCACCCCATACTAAAACTTGCACGATCCGTGCCGGTACAACACGTACACTGTAGAGCATATACACTCAGTCGTACCGTCCAGTCAGGCTATCCAGTGTAAAGTCGACCTAGCATGTTTTAGGCAACAAATGTAGAATGACAAGATTACAGTGAAGAACATCATTGGGGTTTTACCTATTTACCCAATAATTTGAGGCAAATCGGTTCATGATTTTTGATTGAACAAACAAACAAACAAACAGACAAACATAGATTTCTCCATAAACTACATAATAATTATAAAAGTTGGATTTCCAACGCAAGTGAATTTTACTTGCGCGGAATTCAGAGCTAGTCCACTCAATGTACGGAATTCAGAGCAATTCCACGCAATGCAACGGAATTCAGAGCAATTTCACGCAATGTACGGAATTCAGAGCAATTCCACACAATTTACGGAATTTAGAGCAATTCCACGCAATTTACGGAATTCTGAGCAATTCCACGCAATGCACGGAATTCAGAGCAATTCCACGCTACGGAATTACGGTTGAGACCTCTAGATCTAAGGTGTAGTTGTTTTGTTCTAGGGGAATTAACACTGAAGCAAGACAATGTATCTTGCTACCTATAGCAAAGATTTTCAGGTGGAAAGCAAAAAGGAAAGCTCACAATTTTGAAAATATATTACACTAATATATTAAACAAAGAAAAGTGTAAAATACATGTTGCAGGTTGAGAGACAAGGTCGGTATATATGTATATATAGGGGAGTCGACAATATTTTTAAAACTTAATAAAAATATAATATGCGATAAAAAATAATTTAAAAATATGAAAAAATTTAAAGTGGGAAATCTGCAGTAAATGTTGTCAAATAATGTCTTAAAACTGTCATAGATTTAAAACTGTTATAGATTTAAAACTGTTATAGATTTAAAACTGTTATAGATTTAAAACTGTTATAGATTTAAAACTGTTATAGATTTAAAACTGTTATAGATTTAAAACTGTTATAGATTTAAAACTGTTATAGATTTAAAACTGTTATAGATTTAAAACTGTCATAGATTTAAAACTTTTATAGATTTAAAACTGTTAAAATTTTAAAACTGTTATAGATTTAAAACTGATATAGATTTCAAACTGTCAAAGCTTTAAAACTGTTATAGATTTCAAACTTTTAAAGATATAAAATGTTATAGATTTAAAACTGTTATAGATTTTAAACTTTTATAGATTTAAAACTGTTAAAGCTTTAAAACTGTTATAGATTTAAAACTTTTAAAGATATAAAATGTTATAGATTTAAAACTTTTAAAGATATAAAATGTTATAGATTTAAAACTGTAATTGATTTCAAAAACGCGTTGATCGGTTTATCTTTATCGGTATATCTCGTTAAACTTTTCATGAATTTTAATAAAATTTTAGAAAACAACGTTTTCCCAGCAATTTTTTATTAGTCAAAATATATTATAAATATATAATGCAGTACATTTCCTGACTTGAAAGAAATAGTAATTTTGTATGCATAGGATACGGTTCAGTAAATATATATTATACTAGTTTGTGAGAACCCAGCGTGGCTCAGGCACATAGATTCAGCCTGCTTATAAAAAGTCTCATCAATTTTTAAGACAGGGTCGACTTTGAAGTGTCTCAAAGCCGCTCTATCTCACATTTGCTTATCTGTAGCCTTTAACATGTACATTTTAGCACTAACAAGCACTTGTTGCTAGCTTTGGTGTTTAAAAAGTACTTTTCTCTTGAGATCGTGAGAACTTTAAATCACAGTGCAGGAAAGTCATAGTAGATCCCACCGTTTACCCGCCCCTTGTTGTAAAACATAGTTTAGCTATTTTTCCCGTTGAAGGTCACTCGACCCATTCAACTTAGATTCTCAAAACCAAGCTAAGAACATTCCCGTGGGTCTCCCGAGTTCCCCAATCAAAATTTGAGACAAATCGGTCCCGAGGTTTCTGATTTATGATCAGACAAACAAACAAACACTCAAACAGAGATTACAACTTTATATGTATAAATATATATTTTGAAATTGTTTTTTTTTTAAACCCATGATTTGTTCTTCAAGCTACAGATCTAAAATGAATAGATTCAGACGAATTGTTCCTTGAGATGAATGTATTTACTTATTTTGTTCTTTAAAAAGTTCTTTAGTCTTTTATAAGTTTTATAATTTTATTTTATAAGTTTTATAATTGTAAGTTGCACAGCACTTTTATTTACAGAGTGGCGGAATCACAATGATTTATTTAAACAACAATTAGAAAGTTTTGTCGTCTTTTATCAAAAAAAGTTTTAAATTCTAATAAAATGTTTGTTTTCCTAAAATAAAAAATTCTGCAATTCACTTTTCTAGAAGAAAAAAAAGAGTAACCAGTACCTTTAGGAATCCGTTGTGAATACGCAACAGTTCCTTTAACCTACGATTTTTTCATTTTTTAACCTTACCTCGATTGGGCTATTTTTGTCTAACATTGATGGTTGGGAGGGTGTTTTTCACCCCTCCCATGATTTTGCCCTTAGAGCTGAGATACGGGAGTGTGATACATGTCAATAGTTCAACTTTTCAAGGCTGCGCATTAAAAAGAATTAGACCCCTAACTTTAATGTAAGGGAGGATTTTTCAAAAGTTCAAAAAGTATGTCGAGAAGTGTTAAAAAATAATTATTTTTATTTTTGACAAATATTAACATGTGGCACATGTTATTATATCCATTTTTCAAATATATAAGTCTGCTTTCTGATGTTTTTAAACACCGACCTGCGGTTTAACCATTCTCCAATCTCCTCCCTACCCTATGCATCAAAAAAAATAATTAGCAAAATTTGTTCACAACTATGATGTTGAAAAGTGAATAAGTTTTAGAGTTCTAATGTGAGCCATTTTTAACTTATTCAGAATAAACCACCAGCAGGGGGTGGATAACATCCCCCCCTCCCCCATCGTGATAGGGTTAACAAACTTAAAATTAGCCATGATTTCCATTTAAAATACAGAATTTACACTTTATTTTTGTGAATGAAACTTCTCCCAGCTAAGTAGAATTATGAAATTTAGTTCATGTCTGTCTGTCCTATCTGTCCTCTGTATGTCCTGTCTTTCCTCTGTATGTCCTGTCTGTCCTCTGTATGTCCTGTCTGTCCTCTGTATGTCCTGTCTGTCCTCTGTATGTCCTGTTTGTCCTCTGTATGTCCTGTCTGTCCTCTGTATGTCCTGTCTGTCCTCTGTATGTCCTGTCTGTCCTCCGTATGTCCTGTCTGTCCTCTGTCTGTCCTATCTGTCCTTTGTCTGTCCTATCTGTCCTCTATCTGTCCTGTCTGTCCACTCTGTATATCCTTTCTGTCCTCTGTATGTCCTGTATGTCCTCTGTGTATGTCCTGTCTGTCTGCTGTATGTCCTGTCTGTCCTCTGTATGTCCTTTCTTTCCTTTGTTTGTCCTATCTGTCCTCTGTATGTCCTGTATGTCCTCTGTACGTCCTTCTGTCCTCTATATGTCCTGTCTGTCCTCTCTAAGTTCTGTCTGTCCTCGGTATGTCCTGTCTGTCCTCTGTATGTCCTTTCTTTCCTTTGTTTGTCCTATCTGTCCTCTGTATGTCCTGTATGTCCTCTGTACGTCCTTCTGTCCTCTATATGTCCTGTCTGTCCTCTCTAAGTTCTGTCTGTCCTCGGTATGTCCTGTCTGTCCTCTGTATGTCCTGTCTGTCCTCTGTATGTCCTGTCTGTCCTCTGTATGTCCTGCCTGTCCTCTGTATGTCCTCTGTATGTCCTGTCGTCCTATTTTTTTGGGGCATCAAAAAGAAAGATATTGATGTTATTCTATCTAGAATTTTGGCATAAATTTGCTAGCTGCGCTTTCACAGAAGCATAACTCAACTAATTTTGCTTAAACAAAGGTTTAAAGGGTACCTATGGATACGCCTATGTTCATTAAGATTGAAACCCCAATATGACAAAACTTAACGTTTTCCCGGAGTAAATTAATTTATGTAAAACCTAATGTCACTTGCAAATTCTTATGCAAAAACGATTATGACAATTATTTTCAAAATTCTGTCAATTATAATTCAAAAATGCATTCTTGTGCTGTTAATTATAAACTGTCGATATTCAAACCTTTTACGCCCTTTACCCAACCATTTATGCTTTAAAATTATCGTAAAAATACCAAAGGGGGAAATTGCCCCCCCCCCCTCCTGCACACACCACCAAATATGACCCACTCAACCTACATTTATCTTTTTTATGATCGTCGATATCCTATTTTTTTCGTGGGTTTAGAGAAAAAAAAGAAAAAAAGGCATGCAATAGAAAATAAGTTTTCTTTTTCTTATTATGTGACATTAATTCCTACCCCCATTTGGTCCAAATTATCTTTTTCAAGAGTATACATCTTTCAATGAAACATTTTTTCCAAACTGCGATAGTAAAACTGAGTGTTAGAAATTGACAAAGAATTTTTTTTCAAGCTAAAATGGTATTTCTTTCAATCAAAGTCAAGAAGAGAAAAAATACAACAATTGTTTATTAACTGTATTTTTACTGTATTAAAACAAAAATGCAAGTAATAAGACGTGAAGATCAATATTTGTTGATACTTTATTTAATTTTCGAACATATCAGTAGTAAAAGAATGGTGTTCCTAGGTAACTTACACAGGCGTTTCTAGATCACTTTGTGATTATTTCATTTTCGAAAATATCCCTATTTTGAAACAATGATTCAAATTTG